GGACAGCTGTGGTCCCTCCTGCTTTTCAGGATGAACACATTGGGCTCCATGTGGCCTGATGGGGCCAAGCAGGCGGTGGACGCTGGGAAGACCCCGCAGAGAGGACACTGTGATCCATTTTTTCCTAGTGAGGTTAGCTGAGTGGGCTGTAGCAGGCCAGGGTGGAGATGTTGGGGTCAAATCAGCCATTATTGAGCCTTCGTGTGTGTGTGTGTGTGTGTGTGTGTGTGCGCGTGTGTGTGGTGTGTGTGTGTGTGTGGTGTGTGTGTGTGGTGTGTGGTGTGTGTGGTGTGTGTGTGTTTCCCTTTTGCCTGTCTTTGCTCCTTTTGGCAACCTGCTTGCCTATTTCTGAGGCCTGGGTTCCTGCTTCCCAAAGTGAGGCTGGGATGCCTGCCTGCTGGGATACTCAGGGAATCCCCCGGGATGACATCCTCATCTCTGGCCCTGGAGAATCTAGCCTATTTGGGGGTTGTGTTCAGTAAGTCTCCCTTTGTGCAGACTGCTTTCCTCATTTGTGTAGAAAATGAGGGCATCGGCCTATCTCACAGGTTCTCAGAGCTTTAGCCCTGCTCCTGCTACCTCCTGTAGCCCAGCCTGCTGTCTTCCCTGGGGTCTGAGGCTGGTGTCTGGCCGTCCGTATTGCCTTTGAAGATTGTCAGTGCACCCACTTCACTAGCTGGGGCCCTGGGGCTCTCTCTGGGTGGAGTAGAGATGGGACTAGACTGGTATATGGGCCTCTTGGTAGCAGACATGGACACAGAGATGGGAGCCCAAGTATAGTGGGAATTGAGCCTTCAGCTCCTAAGAAGCTGTGGAAAGATTTGAGGTACGGGAGCAGCAATAAATTGGGCAGGTACAAGGCAGTAAGCAGATTGAATGCAATGGCTGAGGAGCTCCCTAAACTCCAGTGAAGTAGAGATTGAGTCATTTCCCAACAGCAGTATAGATTGCCAAGCTGCAACTTTATCAGACATTTTCTTCTTTCTTACTCGTCCTCATTTATCCTGGAAACTCAGGCCATGGCAGGGCAGGGTGAGGGTTTCCTGCGCAGGGGTGGAGAGGGAGTCAGGAAGGGTGCATTATTTGGATGATTTTCTTGATCTTAAGAGGGATTTAGAAAGTAGACTTGCATGGGAAGGTGGGTAGAGAGGGCCTGCCCTGTCTGGGTTACAAGGGTCACGGCCTCCCCAGTTTCCAGGAGCCACAAATATGGGGGAAAGCAGGGTCCCCCAAGGTGGAGCAAACACTGGGGACCTTTGAGCAGGGAGGGAGCCCTGTCAATGATCTGTGGATTCAAGGAGTGTCTCATCTGCTTAGAGAAGCAATCTGCCCCTTCCGGCACCTCCTGCTTCCCATCCCCCTCTGCACCCCTGCCCTTGCCACCAGGTGGAATCCTGGAAGCCCCAACCCTCTCTGAGGAATGTGGAATGGCCCCTACACCGTCAGTGACAAAGAGAAGCCCCTTTGATAACTGAGTTGTGGCTGCCCATGTAGTCTTCCTGACACTTTATTTACCTGGGTCCCTCCTCTCACCCTCTTTTGCCGTTAAAAGCAGGATGTAGCTCTGGCTCCGTGGGGCCAGCACAGCTCCAGCCCCAGTCCAAGTCCAGCTCCAAGCTTCCCAAATAAGTTGGCCTCTTCAGAATGATTTGCTGAAGGCTTCTCTGGCGAGGCAGCTGGGGGAGACCAGAGGTACTGGCTGGAAAGGAGCCTTGAGCAGCAAGGTTTGGGATGCCCTTGCCAGGTGCTTCTCAGTTCAGGCCAAAAGGCTCTGAGGAAATTGCCAAGCACCTTGGGTCTAGAACTGAGAAAGCGCTGCTTGGGGCCCTAATGCAGGTCGTACCCCCATCCCCCCCAGGGCCACACACCTGCCCCCAGAGGCTGGGGGAGCCACCCCATCCACAGCAGGCCTCGGAATAGCCACCTAACAATGACCTGCTAGAGGCTAAGCCATCAGGATAAAGAGATCCAGGCCCTCTTCCCATCGGCCACCTCCACCCCTCTCTGGTTGCTCCCACCGCCTTGCCACTGCAGCACCCGATGGGAGGACAGCCTTAATATGCGAGGGCACATCCACTCTGAGGAGCTTGTCCAAGGACATCGTCATTGGCTTGCCCCTCACCCAACAGCCCAGACCCCAAGCTCATGGGCAGGGCCATGCCACTACTACGGACCCTTTTTTTCCAGGAAGGAAATTAATTAGTTTTCACAAGCATTTCCTTTTTCCAGCCCTTGAATCCCAAGTGAGTCTCAGGCTTCCCTGTAGTCCGGCCAGTTCTGGGCCTGGCATGACCCCTGGGGCCGAGCAACTAAGGCCACCCCCAAAGCATCTGGGTGGGCAGGCCAGGGCCCTTTCTCTGGTGCAGAGCACAGAGACACAGCTGGAAAACCAGGACAATTAGCCAGTGGCTTGCAGCCGGGCCATAAAAATGCAGGAAGTGGCCACCACAGGGCGGAGGGGATGGCTGTCCCCAATAAAGTGATTGTTACAAAGAATGCTCACATTCCGAAGACACAGGCTCAAGCCTGGGCCTCCGCTGACTTTCAGAGCTTGAGGCCTGGGAGGAGGTGTGGGGACGGAAGGAGGGACTGTGTCTCCAGGAAGAGGAGGAAGATGTTTACTAGATCAAAAGTCCGCAGTGCCCATCACTTAACCTCTCACATTCCTGCCCCATCAGGACTGCAGACACCCTTTCACACGCACACCCCATTCAATGATTTGAGTTTTGTAATGGGGCTTGCAATGTATTTTCTGGAGAGGTCCGATGACTCTCAGCTGTCTGGGCCAGGCTCAGGGGTTCCAGATAGATGACCTACTCAGGTCTCCCACCTCTTGAGTGCTCAGCTTGCTTCCTTAGGAAACACAAAGGACGAGAGGGACTAGCAAGCAAGAGATCCTGAGGCCCTGGACCTCTTTGGGCCTGGCGTCTCTGCACCATGCATTTTGGTGGGTGTCATCTGTAAAATGAAGAGCATGACAACACCAGCTTTGTTCCGGATCTAGGGAGAAGTGAGGATCAGGGGAGATAAAAGACATTAGAGCAAAAACAACAACAACAGAAAAGACACTGGAAAGGGCTCCAGAGATGATTAGATGAAGTGACAAATACCAGAAAGCACTTGACAAGGAGCATCAAGTGCCGATCTGGAGGAGAGAGGCCAGCACCCTGCCCGTTCCAGAGCCACCCATTCAGCCTGCCCAGCCCAGCCCAGCTGGCCCTGTGAATCCCAGCCTGGCACTGCCATCTGGATCCAGAGAGAAGGCGGACAGCCACCTCAGGCCCACTCCCTATAGTTGCTAAACCGAGAGAAGTGCGCGTGCAGTAGCCAGATCACCTTGGCCTGCACCCCTCTAGGTGCAAATGCCCAGCCAGGCCTGCAGCATAGGTCCCCACAGCCCTGGCCCCTTGGACACAATGCTTCAAAAACCAAGGAAGAGCCTTTCTCAACTCTTCCCCACCCAGAGCTTTTCAGAGGCGGTCATTAGTAATGGGCCAGAGTTGCCTTACCATCCCCTGGAGATGAAAAACAATTTTCTTCCAAGAATGTTTTATCCACCTTGTAAAGTGCTTTTAGGATCTAGGTACACATTACCAGACAGTCTAGGCTCCCCTTTCCTTGATTTTTAACCACATGTTTAAGGATAATAAGTAAACATATAAGTGTAGCTCGTGGATTTTTCATGAACACACGGTGTAACCAGTACCTCACTCTAGCAACCCCCTCCTGCTCCATTACTGCCCTCCACTAGCTTGATTACTAACTTGGTTTGTAGTTAAGACTTTTGAGTCTTAAGTGTGATTTCTTAAAATTAATTGCTTTAACTTAAATCCCAAATGTTAGATGGAAGGGAGATGCAGCCCACAGCTAGGGTCATAATTTATCTCATGCGGAAGGAGGAGCGGTTTCCTTGGGGGGAAAAAAATAAATGATCAGCGATGACAGTTGTTGGGGGCTCACGGGCTTCTGACCACGGCTCAAAGCCGGAAGGAAGCTCCGAATCTCTACTTCCTCCGCTCTTCACCTCATGGTTAGGTTAGAAAGGCTGTCATCAAACAATGGCTTCCCTTTTCTCTTAGAATAGAAGGAGCATCTTGAACCCCTCTTTTCTGCAAATGATGAACACAGCCCTTAGCCCCCAAGTTCAGATTCCCATCAAGACAGCTCTTCCCCCCTCTCTTTTGCAAGTTTCTTGATTTCATTCTTTGAACCTGTGATTGGAGGTTAAAGTGCACCGGGTTGGAAGGAGGAAGCTCTTAACAATAAAGGTTTGAATATTTAGCTGTGATCGAGTCGCCGCCTTCTCGAGAGCTGCCCCCCACCCCTTATCTTTTAAAATGCAAATCATATTTTGGGGGTTGTGCGCAGGGTGCGCGCTGCGCCTCGAAGCCTCCAGCCATTGGTGTCTGTGTCATTACTAATAGAGTCCTGTAAACACTCGTTAATCACGTAAGGCCTTTGGCCCCAGGCTCCGTACGCCAGCCAGTGGCGAGTCTTCCCCGCCTCTGCAGCCCGGTGGAAAGGAGGTGGGAGGAAAGAAGGAAGAAAGGGAGGGAGGGAGGGGGGAGACAGGCCAGGGACAAGGACGTGAGCATGTACCCCAGCTCCGTGCGCCACTCTGGCGGCCTCAACCTGGCCCCGCAGAACTTCGTCAGTGCCCCCCAGTACCCGGACTACGGCGGCTATCATGTGGCCGCGGCGGCCGCGGCGGCCGCGAACTTGGACAACCCGCACCACCATCCACACCACCACCCGCACCACCCGCCCGCTGCGCCTTCCTGTGCTTCGGGATTGCTGCAGACTCTCAACCCTGGCCCTCCCGGGCCCGCCGCCACTGCTGCCACTGAGCAGTTGTCCCCCGGTGGCCAGAGGCGGAACCTGTGC